CCCAGGGTACAGTACAGGGGAGGCTTGGAGCCCCACAAAGAGAACAGGGTAAGGGATCTAAAAGGTCATCTGCATGGAACTGCCTCCTAAAAGATTTTACATCAAACTCATGGTGGGCAAAGAATACAACACTCCAAAGGTGAACCGAATGGCCTAGCCTAGGTCCCCACCTTGTCGCCACCAGTAGGTCGGCAATCCCTGGGGAGCGGTCATAAGCCATACAACACCTACAGCTGGCACAGCAGGTATCAAATTTAGGCTCACATGCATGAAATCACCATTTTTAAGGTGCATTAAGGGCACACGTGTGTGGATATACACCCTTAATGCACCTTAAAAATGGCAATTTTAGGTTAAGCCCACTTAAAAGAGGCACATGTAGACACACCCTCTATAACTGTGTGCAATGAGTCACTTGAACCCCACCTTGATGTAAGGACTGTCATTTACAACACATTTGTATAATGCTTAACACAAGAGCCCCCAACAGCTTGAAACTTCTAGGTCCTACCTAAACATCAATAATTAATAATATACCTCAGTTCCCACTCCAGTAAAGTTTGGGTAGATAATGATGGGCTGTTTCCTAGCACTCCTTTTCCCAAGATCTCACAGCACTTTACTAAGAAGGATAAGCTTTATTCCTGCTTACAATATAACAAGAGCTTGTCTTACTTGTGTCACATACATGTAATCTCACTGGCCAATGAGAGTGCACAAGTATAAATAAGGACAGAAATGGACCTTGTGTCTTCCATGTTGAAATGGGTGTGACAAATATGCCAGTGAAAAAAAGACCAAGGCCCTGTTCTGGAAAAGTACCACGGTGCCTCATTATTCCATTTGTATTCAGAAATACCCTTAGAGATGGGATCCCTGATAACATTAAGGAGCCTAAATGTGTTCTTAGTATTGCATAATATAGATAACACTGCATCACCAAGATGCTTTCCTGAATGCAGGCCCAACTGTTGAAAGTGCCACAAAACAAACCAAAAAAAAAGCCTGAAGAGTAACAGCTGCAATTCAACAAGGGTGAGTGAACAATGGAAGAGCCAGAACACCATCAACAGACAAGAACATTACTGATGGATATAAATCCTGTAGATATAGCCTAACTAGAGAACACCATATTTTCTTGTATACAACATGCTCCAGAAAATAATATATACCTGGTTTTTAGAAGGCAGAATGCAGAAAAAAAGATGTTTTTCCCAGAGTTAGGGCTGCCTATAGCAGGGACAGAGCCTAATCTTCAGCTGAATCATCCTCCCTTTCCTAATAAACTAAAGCTAAAATCCTACCTAATGCTGAAGACTGGTCTCCATGGGTATATCTATGATTCTAAAAACAGCTACAGTGTCTCCAAGGCTGTGAAATAGGAAGAGAGAGATGAGGAACAGCAGCAAAATTGCCCTAAGAAAGATTGCTGGAACATCAAGACCATTAAAAAACAGAGAATGGTTGTTAACAACTCTGTGAAGTGAAGAACATTGAGGCATTAAGTGAATTGACTGCCTCACCTGCCTGAATAGTAATGCAGCAGCTGCTGCCCTTTGAAGCAGGAATCAAAGCAGGTTGCTTCTACTGGGGGCAGAAAATCAGCTTCTTGTTTAATAGTTGCACCCCAATACCAGGTGGTGATCTGGGGGGAAAAGGTGTGTGTAGTTTGCAAGAAAATATGGTACTATTCTTGGTTTAATTTGTAGCAGGCTTTCAGATTTTCCTGCAGAGTGAAAATTTGATTGCACCACTATTGGTGGTGGGACTTAAGCACTGCTGAATATATATGTGTTTCATCAGGCATAGTAGCACCAGTCAGTTACCATTCCTGGGGCACGTCTACATGTGCCCCTAAACTGCACAGTTGTTACTGCACAGTCATTTAGTACTTACTAAATCAAGTACTTACTGAAGTAAGTACTAAACAGCTGCACAGTAACCGCTGTTACTTCACAGTCGTGGCAGCATACAGGTCACTTCTGACCCCGACTGTTCACTGCTACTGTGCAGTAGCATCGGCATCACAGTTCGTCCCCACCAATGCTACATCACCATAGCGACAAGCTACATCGCCATACCTCATTGCTATGGCAACATATCGTTTCTCATAGATGCACCCATGGAGTATGTTGGCTTTTCCATCTGGAGAGCCAACATACTTGGAATGCTAGCACATCAAAACCATATTAGAGAATGAAACATGGCTGGTGAATTCAGTGGGTTAACAAAAACCACAATGCTAATTATTTAAAATGCAAGTATCAGGGTGAGAGAACTGGGAAATGTTGTACAATATGAGCCTGCCTTTTGGGACTTAAGTCTCTGAAAAAGAAAGCCCCTATTATTTCAAAGGCTGAGTGGCTACTGCCTTTTCTAAGGTATGCCATGTATACCTATGATGCATAATAATAAGGAATTAATATCAGGTCCAAAATTGCTGTGAATGGTTGAACTGCTAGATCTCATGCTCAGGTGGCTCCATTTCAGCAGCAGGTAAAATGATTCCTGGATTAATAGCACACAAATCAACTGGTAACATTCGCAGTGTGCTTTGAGATAAAAGTTCATGTACATAAAAAATCCTGTAACGGAAGCTAGTATTTTTTGGATATAAGTAACAACAAACCAGCCAAGCCGCTTTCGATCAAAGTTTGAAAAATATTTTTTTCCTCATAGTTCTGATCACAGCTCCTGAAGAAAAGTTTTGTATCTAAGCCCAAAATCCCTGTAAAATGAAGGTGAGAACAAATAGTGAACCACCTCAGAAGAAGCAAGCATGCATGTTACAGCTGTATATGAAATAACTAGTGCGACATTTTCATTTTTGAATGCACAAAAAACCAGAGGTGGCTTCCAAAGGAAGAAACGTGTAGACTTTGAGGAGGGCATGGATGAATTAATGGAGGGAGTGATGAAGAGAGATAAGTATACAGCACTAATGCTTTACTACTCATTCAAGTCTTAGCAGCTGTTCAGTAAAGAGGAGGAAAATAAAGACCTTTGGTGATTCTTAAGCACGCTGCCAATTTTCCACATGGGATCTGATGGCTCAGGAAATCAGTTTACGCTGTATAGCCCCGTGGAGCTACAGAAATGTTAGTAAGACTTGCTGGAATGTACATGCTGCCATTCTAAAAAGAAACTGAGTTCTTGCTGTTCTTTATTAGGTAAAAATAAGTTCCCTGACAAATTTCTGTCCCCTGCCCTTTTTTTTTTTATCCACGGCTGTTGTTCAGTCTTGTCTTTTGGGCACAATTAATGTCACTTAGCTACTGATTTGACATGCAAGTGCTATTGACACTGACAATTTGGCAGGCACCATAATAGAAGTCAGATTGAAAACTGGGCCCACAATGACATGAGTTCTTCTGCACCCTCATATAAACCCCGCACAGCATTTCATACACAGTATCCTGCTTATGAGTCAAATACTGGCCCTCTTGCACACAGGCACCTGCCCCAAAATCCACAAGTACCCAAAACTCCTGCTTCCAGATCTGTGAAGTTGGATCTTCTTATATAGTAAGAATATAGTCACATCCTAAAACTGCTTTGCTATCTTTAGTACGATCCTCTCCAAAATCTTTCTGCATCTATCTCCTCAAAATAGATGTAGTGAGAGGAAGACAGGGAGAGAGAGAGACAGAGACAGTATATCAAAATATTTCTTTCAGGAGAGCATGGAAGAACATCTGTTTGCTTGGAAGGCAAAAGAGAGAAAGAGTAGCTGAAAAGGAAGTATCAGATGATTACCCAAAGGATGTCAGTATTTTCAACCACCTTATTAGTCTGCCAGCCCATGTGAGAAAGTGTCTCAGCCCTCCAGATTTGGTTTTGGACAAAGTAAAGGAACAAGTGACCATGGCCACCTGTCCTACTTTCTGGTCTGTCTCCCTGACCAATCCTGGTGCCCTCGATTACCTCCTCCCCAACTTAGATCTCAAGCTGTCACTTCTCTCAGTGGAGAAACCAAACAAATCACGTGATTCTGCTACTTAGACCAGGCCTTGGGCTGCAGCCTCCAGGCATGAACTGGAGGCCCAAGTCTGATCAGTACCTGCAGTTCCCTCTAAGAGAGATGCCCAGCGGTAACCAGTGACCAGACTGCTTTCTTAAAGCCAAGTATGTTTTATTTAGAACAGAAGCATTCCACAGAAAATTAATCTTAAACAAATACACATCTATTTATATATACCTGTCTATCTTTCTCTTACCTCTCCATGGAAAGCTCCTGCTGTTTCAGACCACTCCTGCCAGACCTTCTGTCATACTTCCTCCTACACTTTCTCTCTCTAGAGAGTCCTTTTCAACATTTAGGGTAAGCTTTGAGCTGTAGGGTTCCCAGCTTTGGCAAAGCAGCTGTGTAACTTTGGGGTTTGGAGCTGAGAAGTCATCTTTATAGCAAACAGCTCACCCTTTATAACATTCTCTCCAAAATGTTTGTTGGAAGGTGGCTGGTTGTGTTTTAAAGAGATCTTAGTGAGGGCACAGGAACAACCCACCCCAATGTGCAAAAAGAATAGCAAATATGGCAGGCAACCAGCTTGGCTTAGCAGAGAACTCGTCAATAAGCTTAAAGACAAAAAGGAAGCTTACAAGAAGTGAAAGCTTGGACAGATGACTACGGAGGAGTATAAGAATATTGCTCAGGCATGCAGGGATGAAATCAGGAAGGCCAGTACATTAGCATAGGAAGGTCTAAAATCCAAATACAGCTACACAATAACTCTACCTCAGTGACCAGGTTGCAGATAGTAACTGTGAAATTATTTCATGTTGGTATTCTTAGGTTATTACACAGCTGCTCCAGGTCTGCAACAACAAAGCCAATGACCCTAGTTCTCATCACCGCTGCACCTGGCATAACTCTACAGATTTTAGTGGTTATTCCAGCTTTATGATGGAATAACTGAGATTAAATTTGGCCCTGCTTTTTTCCATACAGTAGCATGATCATTCCCACACAAAGGAAAATTCTATCTTGAGGCCAGACTTACCTCTGTAATGATGAAAAAGTCATCACCTGGCTCCCCCTGCACCACGATTTTTTCTCCATCTTCAAACTGGACAGGTTCTAATGCATCCGCTACTGTCAGTCGTTCCCATTTGTCCAGTGATTCTAAAATAGTGAAGATCATAGATATCTATGGTTAAAATGTCTACCTTTGGCACAAGATTTGTACCTAACACAAGGGCTCTGATACTTCTGCTGGTGTTTTAAAAGAAATAGTAGATAGAAAAGTAAAAACAAATGCTGCTGGCTTGCTTGCTTTCATCCATGCATTCTTCCTGAGCCTCTCCTCAGGATACATGAGGATATTTAATATCTGTGTGATTACTAATGGCCAAGATACAGTAAATCATAAAAAAAATGTAACGGATGGTTATGGCTTCCCAATTCTGTGGTGTGGTCTGTGCTACCTCTGACCCTGCAGTGAATCAGAGCAGCCTGGGACTTGTTTTAAGATCCCCTTGCTGTAGATGAGCCCCACATATTAGCTTAAGAACAAGTAGGATGGAGATCCCCTTTCTTCTGATTTAGCTGCCAGCACCAGACTGGGCATGATGTTTGGTGCAAGGGTAAACCCTGATATCTTAACATAATGTGGGAGCTAGTCCCTGCTGAGGGGCTTTGTAGGGGGTTAGTTATAGCCTCCTTCTTCAGCAGTTCAAATGAGCCTTTGTGAGATGAAAATTTGGTTCACGGGTTACTCTCCCATTTAAGCCAATGACAAACTCATATCACTATGAATGGTAGCAGGATTGGGCTCCTAGGTACTATATTAAGATTACAACCCAATATCGGAAGCAATTTTGACCAATGGGAAAGATCTCTTATTCACCTCGGCTTAACTAAAATTGTTCTACATCCTCAAAGCAGAATTTGCCAGTAAAACATTAAAATGGCATATAACGCGACGTTATTCATTCATGCTAATTAGAGTTAGTAGGGTCTTAGTCTGAATTACGTGAAGTCATACCTGCTAAGGTCTGGACTGAATCTGGCCTAGTCTTGATAAATTCTACCAGACACTATTTAGAAATATTATAGAAAAGACAGTTTTGTTGCTGTCATTAATCATTTCAAATGAAATAAAGTGAGACCTGAATCAGAGGTATGCATTGGGTCTACTAAAATCATGTGGCCAAAATAGTTGTCAATACTTTGGAGATACCTGGCACTTGCAACTCTTAGTATTTTTAAGTAATACATTTCCTCATCCTTGTGTAAAAAATAATGGTTCCATTTCTTTCTTCCATGGTCACTTAGTAATACACTTTTCCAGCACATTTATAGCCTTTATTTTGAAAACATCAGTTTAAGCCTGTTAAAAAAAATAATGTTCGTATGATATTCAAAAAGTGTACTTACTGCTTGATTACAAGTATGCATAAAACCCTTTTGTAAAGAGTGGAAGAACTGGCTTTCTGATTTAAAAAAAAGGAATTCAGTAATTAACAAAGAAAAGAAAGAGTCCTTTAAACTTTTTCTTCAGTTGGCTTTATGAAAAATTCAAAGCTAATTGTAGCTCTAGTCACGAAGTCTCTCTCTTGTCTAAAGGGACTGTACTACTACAAATGCATTATTTAATGTTCCCCACAAATCAAAAGTTTACAGAGGCACTGAAACTCTTTAAAGCTCTTTCAGTTCCAGAGTTATACTCAAACATGCAGCTAAAGCAGATTTTAGGCAAATTTTATAATCTCTAAATATTTTTAATCAAATTATCATTTTATATTTCAACAGTCTGAGAGGAAAGAATTCAAAGTCATAATTTGCTCATCTCTTGCTCTACGTACCAAAACAGCTACCTATAATCTAAATAAACTTGAATGCAAGTGATGAGGGCTGTTTTTCTTTTTTTTTAAACATTGCTTCTAAAATGTCATAGATGACTAGTTAGAGCAAGTACTCAAACCTGGAAAAGTTATATTTAAAACCCAAGAGTAAGTGTTTATTTCAAGAAATTACTGAGTTCTGACCAGATTAAGGTAGGAGATTGGGTTGATTTGTTGGTGCTGTTAGCTGAGATTACTAAAATAACTGCTGAGTTTGCCAGCTGTCACTTACTGTTTAGATACATTAAATATTCTTAGACATTTCAGCTAAATCCTCAACACTCCCACAATAATGCATTATGTTGCTTACTGACTTTCTGCATTTATAAAAGAAAAAGTTCCAAAATCTGAAGTTTCTACTTAGTCCTTCCTGGGGTAAAATGCATATTGTAATCCCAAACGCATTTCAAGAAGTGGCTGACTGAAGTCAATGGGAGGTTTGTGAAGTGCTAGCGCATTTCGGGTACACTGCCAACTTCCATCCTTAAGAGAATTCGTCGTTCAATAACGTCACACTCTGAAATTGATTTTTAATGTCTTGATATAATTGTACCTCATTAATGCAGGTGCAGGGCTTATTTGCTTGGAACATTTATCTAATTTGGCATAATTTGTACTGTTAATTGAAGAAGATTTAAGTTGGTTAATGAAGAAGGGTACTTTTGCATTCTGCTGTGGAAGAGGTGAAAACTATATGGTTAAGTGAATGATTTACCTGACCTTATTCTAAGAATATAAGTGTAATTTCTTGCAAATTTCTGGCATGAGATCTACTGAAAAGTTCAAGTACATTTTCAGAAAGTGTTCCTTCTTTTCAAGTTTCTGCCAGATAGCTAAAATGGCAGAAGAATAACTAAATGCACAAACATCAATGTTTTAAATAGCAATCATGATGAGTTTTACTGAATTATACAATATACTGATTTAACTTTCTTAAAAAAGTAGCCATAGATGGACTTCAAGTACCTGATGTATTTTCTACAGAATTGACATTTCATTTTACCATCTAACTGTTAGACTCTAAAACCATTGTCCTTATTAGAAGTTTTTATTCTCCTAATGGTGATAAATTGGTCAGACATTAGAGATTTGTTGTTTGTCCTACTGCAGGCCATTGAGAACATGTCCATATTTCGTGGCTATCACATTAAACAAAGGGAAACAAAATCCTACGGCAAGAAGCTAAACAGATGTTTTAAGAATGTGAGACAGAGGCTATAAAAGACACGGAAGAAAAAAGTTCGACCCATTTAGATTCCTGGTGTTAGTTTGCTAGCCCACATAAATACATATACGGGACTACATCTTTCTTGTAAGAAGAAGTTTCTCACCTGTTAGCTGGAAGGACTTTATGACACATTCATATTACTACACTCCTTCCTCAACTGCCCACGTGACATTTACTGCAACTTTATTTAGCAGAAAGTCACTTGCATTTGTCTATAAATTTTTCCATGAATGACTTTACCCATCAAGGTTTGGTCTACAGTTAGGATTAAAAAAATGAGTCCTAGTGCCCTTTCAATTTCCTCCAAGCTTGATTCTAGCTGGAGATGCTATTTTGAGGCCTTTTTGACCACTGCAGTTTTCATCATCTCATGCAAGACCAAAATGTATAGCGACAACACATGTAACAAAGAAACTAGCATTGAAGCCCAAAGGGCAACAGACCCAAAATGGAGACCTTGCTCAGGAATTCTTCATACATCTTCCGTTTTCTCAGTGTGCTACCCTGTTATTAGAGAGAGAAGATTACATTACACAGAGTATTTTTGTGGCTTGTTCCTATACCTGTTCTTTCTGATTTCTCTTCGCCTGAATTGTAAACACAGCCAGCATAAACAGCCTAGGGCTTCCTCATAAAGTCTCTGACTAAGTGGTATTCCTGATAAGTAAAGGCAGCAGGTATCAGATTCATCCCAGGTGTCATTCCACTCACTTCAGTGTAGCTACTGGATGCCAAGGATGAATTTGATTCATTCTTTTCAGCTACTAACTTTACAACTGAAACATTTATCAATTATCTGTTAGGCCTACAAACAGTGGGGTTATCATCAAAATATGGAGAAAAACCCACTATAGATATAGTTGGACCTCCTTGCTCAGACTCCCCTGGCTTCAGTGGATGTGCAAGGGTCCATATGCATGCATCCGACTGTAGGATTTCCAGAGTGTCAGACATGGTATAGACATCATTCTCTTCAGTTATGGACTGTTGAAGGCAGGGGGGATATGCTGTTTTGTGTATTGCAGAGTATTTTATGATTTAAACAGCTTGGAGAAAAGACTACCCACCCTTACTATGTGGCTGTACAGACACTACTACAATAATGTTCCAGCCTCATTAGAGACCATACATCCAATGGTAATATAAATATACATAATTATTAATCTTGAAAAAAGTTATGAAAAGAAAGTATTTTCTCTGGTTAGAAAGTATTTAAATATACCCATCCTTGATTAGTATTTTCAAAATATCAGAATGGGATTCAGACACTACTAAGACCCTGCAAGATGCATTGCATCCATACTGCTCTTTGCATAAGAAAAGAGGTCCTGCTTTGGAAAACTTTTCCAACCCCACAAAAGTCATCTCCCCTCCATCCTCAACCCTTACTGC